AGCTGAACTAGCTCTGCTATAGGCTAAGGGTTCCAGGGTCACAGCGGCACATCCCCACCCAGAAATTCCCAAAGTATCCCCCCCCCCGGGGGAAATGGTAAGGTACGGTACGCTTCGGTGGAACATCAAACGAGTTTAATCAAGCCGTGATTCATATTTTGGAGAGACGTGGTCGAGGCAAAAAACCCATGGCGAGACCAAACGAGCCTGGTATACCGCAACAGCGTACCGGAAAGGTACGATTATGAATTCACCAACTGACAAATGGACCATTTTACCGATCTCACGTAATATCAACAATTTTTTCGTAGTTTTATTTAGACAAAAAACGCCCTCCATAAATCAACATATCATGCAGATTTTAGTAAACAAGCCAAGAATCTATTGGAAAATCATTAAAATTTGCGACCCCAAAATTGCCATTTTTTGTAAAGAAATGATTGCAACGATTGCCCCTTAGCATTGCAGGACACTATTGCCAGCCACTTTAAAAGTACTCAAGCTAATTCGACTCTTTTTTTCTTACCTTCCACTGTACGTCCACTGAGGAACACAAGAGTAAGTGTTATGAACCATGATGAATTTCCCATTCTTGTTATAATCTTCAAACTCTCTCAACTTCAAACCAAAAAATAACGGATCATAGTCATATATTTATAGATTATAAGTAAAAAGTAAATTATGAAATCCGGACAGACCACTGAGCTATTGCTGTACAAGGACTCTCTGCGTCTGGGTTGTGCTGGGAGAATACACTTAGCGAAAGATAATCAAAAATGGAAAATCTCGTCTGCGGCAATGCTCTAAAATGACAGAGTTAAGCAGGATTGTTTCCTTCTTTATCGACGTATTCTAAAATTTGTAAGCATACAGATATTGCATGCTCTTTTAAGGTAAGCGTTCAATTTACTTGAATTTAAACATCCAGCTGGCTTATACTTATGCACTTTTCTGTTCCTATGGCTAATCGGAAGCTCGCAATAAACTCCCGCTACGAACTTATTTCTCAAAACCTTGAACAGTGATGTTTTATATATTTATGTGGCCCATTTCAGCAATGTCCTGGCAGGATAAAGATTATGTGTGAAGTGCGGAGCGCAATCAAGCATAACGAGATGATTAACATCGGAGTTGTTTGTTTTATTTCCATCCTCAATCTGTGATAGTTTATTTCGTAAAGCGGCTGTTAAAATTCGCATAGCACAATATTTTCAACTTACACAAACATACGCGGGTTTTTAAGTGCTCTTGAGATGTCAACTAGAGTGCCTTAAACTATGACCACACGACCGCAATGATATTGTGCGTTTGGCAACAATATTAACTTTTGGATCACTGCAAATTTAATCTTCTTACTTTTGGTAGGTCTCGGCTAAAAATTGTTAAATGATGACGAAAAATTTCATTTTCTGTTGCAAATTTGTTCAGTGTTTGAGCCAACTTAATGCGGACTTTCATTTGTCGTCTTGGAATGAACAGAATGTATCTATGCAATTCAGCCCAAAGTTCGCTCACTTCCAAATGTTCATTTTGTGGGCACGATAATAAAAGAAATGGAAAAACCAGCTTCGAAACCTAGCTAGAGTTAAGGAGAAGTATCACAACTGACTGCGGTATACTGAAGCGAAAGAGTGACGTCATGCCAAATCAGTTGCCACCAAGAGTTTTGGACTTTCAAGTAATCTTGCCGAATTCAGATCGTATATTTTTCATTTGTCAGACCCAAGGATTCTTAATTGAAATAAAAAGATTCCTCGGCTCCTCAACAAACTTTGAAAGGCCATCATTTGACCTCTTTCATGAAATCCTTTCTGTGAGCAGATCGGTCATGCTCAACTAACTTTCAGTCGACTCATAGATTTGATTTTCAAATGTTTGAAACATTTCAAACGCGCATTGCAGAAAAAGCAAAAAAAAAAAAAAAAAAGCAACGTTTTGGACAGATTTTGCGTTCGTTTTAAGAATTAGGAGGAAAAGATTTCCCTGTTTCTAAATGACCAACTTTGCGCTTCTAGAACTTAAATTCTAGAACTGTTTATCAGGAGACAAACACGTCGAAACTTACCGCATTGCCTGAACTTCACAGCATATCAATGAAGGCAAAACTCAACCAAGATGTACAGCTCCGGGTAATGCTGAATACACAGAAAACGATGTTGTTTCTTTCAAGCTTCTCAAGATAGATGATTTGAGTTCCAAAAATGTGTTTTGAAAACTTGAACAACCATACGCTTGCGTAAAAATTTAAAAAGCCCGAGGGGGTTTCCGAACAGAATTAATCAAGTTGCGAAATGTTAATGTAATTGGCCGTTGGTTGGTCATTCAACTGAGACGGGATAACATGTAGTTATAATCTCGACGAAACAATAAAAACCCGAACTGCAAGCAGTAAGTACATTTATTCACTGTGCTTTTGAAATGCATTTTTCATTCCTGCGGAACATTCTGCCACGTGAAGAAAGTTGATACATATGCATCAGGACATGTACAGCAGTACTTCAAGCTCAATTTCGTATTCATGAATCGAAAAGCAATCAGCTGTGCCGTGAAGAATATAAAATCACTCAGCCGTTGTTGTCATAGAAGGCTGTAAACAAAGGTAAATAGATGTCTCTCGAAAATTCAGCCCAAGGTCTATTGTTCAGTTTGCTGCCTTTGTTCATCTTTTATAGAATTTTTATTTTTATTTTTAAATTATCTCTATAGATCGTGGTTGAAGAATTTGCAAGACTAGGTAGACTCAAGCAGCTACAGTTTAGATCTCCGCTATTAAAGGAGCTCAGTCAGGGTATTTTGAGTTATTTTGGCCACATACAAAATTACCTTTAAATGGTAGGAAACCTGAAAATAACAGTTTAATAAGATAGAAAAACACCAAAGAGATAATAATAAACCATAAAGGAAAAAGGATGGTTTAGAATGGAGAAGATTAACACGGATTACAAACGACGAACTCTAAAACTTTGGGCTAAACGTTTTTCTAGGCGAACTGTGACGTAGCTCTTTTAAGGAAAATAGGAAATTAAAGAGAAGAAAGAGAAGTGCATGTTTTGCTTTCATCTTGCTTTCATTCGGGATTTGACTGTAAAGACTCGCATCTGCTGCTGATTTTGACGTTTTTCAGTTAGAAATAAAGACGACGATAGGTAGCGTTTATTTACTTGGACACTGTGTAAAAATAATAGCAACACTCGTGATCAGTAAGAACACAAGTTTAAGAAAATCATGGAGACAAACAACCATACATATCTCTAGTTGCTGTTTATAGCTGTTAATGGCTAAAATAATTTTCTTTACCTGCCATTCTGGTTCATTCTGATGTAATAAAATCTAACTAGCAAAAATGCTTTTCAGTCGGCTTGCATGCAAAATTTCACCTGATTCAAGCTGCGTCCACACCACGCCGGAGATATTTAAAAACGCAGCTTTATTCCTACGGTTAGGTCTACCGTCCACACTAATCACCGGCTTTACGTTTTCGTGTGGAGGGAAAAATAACCTGAACCCTTTTAAGCGGAGCATTTGGAAAACGACGATGTCACGGTAATTATGTGATTTCCCTACTTGAGCCATGATTCATCAAAAACATTTCCAAACTGACTGGTGATTGTTGCGTTTTTAAATTTCTCCGGCGTAGCGTGGACGGAGCCTCTAACATGGCGCCAAGGATTAGGGGACTAAATCAAAAGAAAGTGGTTTATTCATGACGCAAACCCAATGTCATTTCTTTTGGTTTAGTCTGAGCCTCGTAGCTATGTTAGAGTACTAGTTTAAATTAATAGGTTTGAAATTCTGGTTGATGGTTTATGAAGCCGGTTTCCATAACGTGATAAAAGCATCTTGCAGTCCACCGCAACAATATATACCACGTGATACTTCCTGCCGTAAACAGGGTAATTAAAAGGAAACTACGCTGCAGAAATTCCAAGTTAGCTACGGAGAAGTTGGAAGTACACAGGCGACCATGCTCAAGATAAGTCAGGAAAGATCATATTGCCTAATAATTTGTATAACTGAAAAAATATTTAGGATGTGTTTTAGGTAACAGAAATGCTAGATAATTTTGAAATAACAATACACTACCTCACATTTATGATCTTGTAAGTTGCGCTACTTGCTGTTGTGTTACTTCATTGCGCTTTATTGCTTAACTATCCTAAAACACATTTTTAAAAATTGGCATTTGACGCCCACCGTAACGTTCGCCGCAAACCTGTGATGGACGTTTGTATTTGTATTTTGCGAAATCGATATTAATTTGCATTTTAGAGTTTTTTGTGTCATTATTTTAGTATAAGTTATATGTTTGAGGTAGGTGTGAGGTCCCTCTAAAAAGAATATGATCATAGAGATAGAGCTTTTTCCATGCACGTGTGTTCCTGGACTGTGTAGTATTTTTGTAAAGCGCCTTAAAGCGCAAAACTTGAGAGAGTATCTTGGGAATAAAGACTCTATAGGAGAGCTCAATTACCCCTCATCCTCTCGTGACCTGGGTCACCTAAACCTGAGACCATATCTCCTCTACCTTGTACGACCTGCACTGGCTTCCTGTGATTTATCGTGTTCGGTTTTAACTGTTGTTTACAAAGCTCATAATAATCAAGCACCTGACTATATATAATGTGAACGTTGACATGTCAAGTGGATCTAACGCGCGCTCTGGGGTTTTCTTGTATCGTCGCGTTCCATCGACATCGAAACCGTACCATATAGGTAACTAACTACCGGGTTAATAATCTATTGATTAGTCATTTATTTATATATTCATTAATTTATTAACTGAAATCAGTTATTCTGAATAGCTCAGTTGTCACTTCTTGTCCAGCTTGCGTAGGGCTTTCGGAACCGTATTTGCTAGCCTAGGCTGCATAAATGGTAAAGCCACCCACCATTGCAAGACCTTGAACAGAGCATGTTTTTCAATTACTTTTAACTCTGTCACCACGGCCATGTTGTTCTGTTTCGGTCGGGGCAGCCCGAGAAAGCAAGATAGTTGCTGGTCTAATGTCGTTTGCTTGTGTGCAACATTTGGTCAAGTATTAATTATGGGCACCGGGCAAGGTTTTGGAGTGTTCTTGCCCGTTATTATGAACGAGTTCAACACAAGCAGAGAGTACACCGGTAAGTGAGTCACTGGGTCAATAATTGGTTGTTGAAATAAGCGATCGGCTATGAAATAAGCGATCTTAATGCCGTAATTTCAAACTAATCATGATGGACGAGCGTAAAGTATAGCTGCTGTGAAGGACTCCTGATGTGTCTGCACGAGGGAGCATCCAATATTTTGTCGGCAACACAACGATGTGCAAACAAACTTGCGACATGGGCAAAAAGACCAAATTATGCAAAAATGTCGTTAAGGGGATAGAAAATCAAAAGAAATTTAAAACCCTGATTACATCGCCGTATGCCCTGTTCAAAGCCAAAAGATTAATCGAAAAGATTTATTTCAGGCATTTGATTATCTTCAACGTCGCAAGCGCTGCTAAAACCCTGTGCAAAAGCTAGTCAATCTGTTTGTTTTAGCAGCTTTCAGTTTACTTTGGTGCAAGCACTATTCCTTTGTGAGACTGTCGCAAATAGATCCCATTATAAATAACCCATTTGCAGCATTTGCGACTTTGGTCGAGGCAATTGGAGGCTGCTGGTTCGAAGACTTCATGACCTTTATATGTCCGTATAGGGCCCAAACAAATGGAGTGCATAAGGTTTTGACCTCGTGTATCGGTACAATACACTACAGCTTAGCTATTAAAGAAAGTAGAATGGTTATTCCCTTCGTGTACCGCCTCGCGAGGACATGACTGGCTGCCTTGTTCACAGTAGTTAGGAATTAATTTTGAATCAAGAACGACGACGCAAGACATTCGTTCTCCTTACCACCACAGACCATATGTCAATTCAAAGCTTATCAGCTGTGCTATCCGATAAAAATTGTACGTTTTACTCCAGTTTTATCTTATTTTAAGAAAATAACCGCCTAGAAACCAATAACAACCGGCATTTTTTCCAGCGAATTCATCTGTTATCGAATTCGGCCACCTGAACAAAACCACAATAGGCACGAGTGTTGTGCTTTATATCACTCACAATGGGCGATTCTGCAAAACCGTGTGAAGTTTCGTCGATTATTATGCAATTTCTTTGTCAAATTTGGTTATCGAATACACTTAATTACTGGTCCCTTGAGAAATACTTATTTTTGTTTTTTAGAGGATGTCGGTGTTTCCCGAAACACAATCTGCGATCAGGCGTTCTTTTTTCGGCGAACGGGAGAAGGGCGAAAGATTCGCACGAGGACTCAAGGACTCGTTTTGAAACGGAGGCAAAAGGTTCTGATCTAAGGTGGCCTATTCCAATATTGTCTTCAGAGTTGCTTAAAGGAGCTCAGTGACGGTTTGCGCATATTGACAAGTTTACCCTCAATTTTTCAAATTCTTCGTTTGTAATCCGTGTTAATCTCAGTCAGGGGCTCAGTCGCGGTTTGCGAATCTTGAAAAGTTTAGCCTCAATTTTTCAAATTCGTCGTTTGTAATCCGTGTTAATCTTCTCCATCCTTAGCCATCCTTGTTCCTTTATGGTTTATCATTATCTCTTTGGTGTTTTTCTATCTTATTAAACTGTTATTTTCAGGTTTCCTTCAATTTAAAGGTAATTTTGTATGTGGCCAAAATAACTCAAAATACCGTGACTGAGCCCCTTTAAAAATGAGATCAATCGCCTAATGTCCTCCTCGTACCCCCACGCGGCCAATCTCAATCTTGTAACTGATGTTTCTACCGCGTATAAATAAATGGCATGTATGTTTTTTTTTAGCTAGGTCCCTAATAATTGCTCTTTCAAGGGGAACGCTCGAACGATGTCGTACTATTTAATACAGTGGAACCTCCACTAACGGCTACCTCTCTACAACGGCCACTTCTTTTGCTCTCTGCGGACAGTCCATACATTCACTTTTATTTTAACCTCTCTACAACAGCCACCTCTCCACAACGACAACTTTTTCTTAATTTCCAGCTTCCTCGTGCCATTCCTAGTTTTCCACTAGCGGCTAGACCACTTGTGAGTTGCCTTTTACCTCTGTATTAAAACGAATCTTCGTGAGAAACCGTCATTCAATGAGTTCTGCCAACAGGTTCATTTTCATGCAAATCAAACTTATTTTCATAAGAAAGGTTTTGCACGAATACTCGTTTTGAAACAGAGGCACAAGGTTGCTCGGAAATGGCCTATTTTGTTCTCTCCCACTAGAACTGCTGGTAATCCATAGATCAGTTTGTACTTGACGTGTGTGAGTTACACAAAGCGTCATTAAACATTGTGTAGCAAACCCCATAAAGAAGCACTTTTTGCCTTGGTGAAGAATTAATCTGTTGTTTTATCCGCACAGCGTGGATTGGATCAATAGCAATAGCCATGACGTTGGGCTTGTCTCCTGTGTCCGGACGGTTGTGTGATCGCTTTGGCTCCCGTTCCGTTGCCATAATCGGCGCCTTGTTTAGTTCTTTGGGCCTCATCTTGACTTCCTTGGTTAAAAAAGTAGATTTATTTTATCTCACCTACAGTGTCCTGTTTGGATTTGGAGCCTGCTGTTGCCGTACAGCAAACTTCTTGATAACAGCCAAGTACTTCGTGAAGCGGAGATCGTTCGCCACGGGGCTAGTGACGGCGGGAGCTGGTTTGGGTGTCTTCGCCCTGGCACCGATAAATCAAAAGGTGATAGATTCCTATGGCCTCAGCATTGCGTACAGGGTGCTTGGGTTTGTAATTCCGGTAAACTGTTTTCTTGCCTTGTTCTACGATCCTAACATAGAGGACGAACTAGCTCAAGGCAATGATGAAGAGGCGCCAAAACATCAAGAGGAAATTAACGGGCAAGAAGACCCGCAGAAATGCCAGAAACTCATCGACTTTTCAGTCTGGAAAGTGCCTGCCTTTACCATTGTAGCTGTGTGTTATGCAGGGATGTCCATTGTGTTATTTACACCTCAGTTTCATTTGGTAAGTTGAGAGGTTTTGCAGTTATTGATAAGTTAACGATACTTATACCTTGTAGCCCGGGGTTGGTGGTTCGGGGATGCTCGTCTTCTCGCTTAGGGTTGTAAATCACGGAATTTGGTCTCACTTTTTTTTTAGCTGTTAGGGTATCTTTTCGGATGCATTCGAAGAAATAATACAGACGTTTCCGTTTAAAGAGGCTGGGAACAGTCTTCAGCACTTTTCTATCAGCTATAATTTGACGGATGAATAGCACCACTGTTTAGCATGTCAAGGGCGTAGCTAGGGGGGGGGGGTCCTGGGGCTTTTGACACCCCTTAACTTTTCGTGAGCCATTTTTATACAAACAACCTACGACAGGTGGCGAAAACGCCATGACAATCCGGTGAGTAGCCTCGCTTTAACAAAGTGTGACCCTCCCTTTGAAAAATCGTGGCTAAGCCCCTGCGAGTGATGCTACAATAATGTTATCACACGAATGCCCAATCATTGGTAAACAAGTTACAGTCATCCTTGTTATATAACAGGTTACGATAGCAACATTATAAACTGTTAGAAACACCTTTAATTTTAGCTTTCAGCGCTTATAACTCAAAAACGAGCTCGGTGACCCCCGTATGTTGTTATCGGCGAATTGTGTAAACATGATAAGACGCAACTTTTTACAAAGTTTAAAACAAATTATTCGGAGTAGGTTCAGAGCCACCTTAAATTTTCGAAAATATCCTTTAGCTGGCTGGCATTTTTAACTCAGGTTATTTCGGGTAGCCAGCACCCGCATCATTTCTTTTTTCTTACTCATATAACGCAATTTCTAACTCTGAGGTGAAAAATAAGTTCTTATTTGTACATTGTTGTTGTTTTTGTAACTGTTTGTTTGTCTTTCATCTAGGTGCGACATTGCGAAGACTTGGGTATCTCTGCCGATAAATCTTCCAAACTCCTGATGATATACGGACTCACGTCTTGTTTTGTGCGCATAATTACCGGCAGACTGTGTGACATGCAAGCAATTAATCCCATCTACGTGTTTCAGTTTGGAATGTTTACAAGTGGTCTGGCAGTGATAATGTTCGGGGTTCCCTCCTCCTATGTGGCTCTTGCAGTAATCAGTGCATTCTTTGGCGTGGGAGACGGAGCAAGCTTGACTTCAGGAAATCTTCTGTTGCTCACGACAGTGGAACCTAAAAAACGAGCCTCCGCGTTTGGATTGGCTAATTTGTTAGACTCAGTTTCCATAGCAACCGGAGCTCCTTTATCTGGTAATTAGTATTTTTCTGTAGTTCGTGTATTACGGTGGTTGTAATGAGTTGAGGTGGGGGGGGGG